GAGGGAGCGATCGAGGGGACAGTCGCTAGGGTTGGGGATGGAGACGACGATGATGAAGAAGAGAAGGCAGATTCTTAGGAGTTTGAGATGAGGGAGGTGGGAAGCGGGTTTAGTTAAGGAAGAGATTAGGGTTAAAGATTTGAGAACGCCCGGGGTTTTTAGAGGTTGGGGGAAATTTTTGGAGGGAAGCGGGTTTAGTTAAGGAGGAGAACGAAGAAAAGATATGTTTTATTTTAAAAATAATAATAATTAAAGCACCCAAACGGTTTAAACCGTTTGGGCTAAACATCCTAAACGGTTAAAACCGTTTGGGCGTAACGTTTGGGATCTTCTTATGGCCCAAACGGTTTTCACCGTTTGGGTTTTGTTATCCCAAACAGTTTAAACCGTTTGGGCTGTTTTCACTTGTCCAAACGGTTACGAGAACCGTTTGGACTGTCCTGTTTTCTACTAGTGCTTGACCTTTGCCATATATTATTAATAAGTCCAAAATTATTGGAATAATGTCATAGAAATTATGATAAATTGCTAAAATTAGCAATAAGCCTATGTGTACCCTATTTATAGACTTTAATTATTATTTGATTATATTTGAATCTAATTAGCTCTAGATTATAAGGTGATTAACCTATAATATATGATTGTCTTGAATTAATACGAGTCTTATATCTTTATATTATAGGATCTGATTGATGTTGAGAGGAGTAATATTTTAAGTGGTATACACTAGAGGTAAGTTCGTTTCTCACTAGTATTTTTATAATATAAAATTCTCTGAATATTATAATTGACTGATCTCGTAGTTGAAAAATAATTATTCTATTAATTTTCATATATAGAAAATGATATATGATTTGATCGATTCTGTCACGGCATAACTCATAATATGATTTTGATTTCTTATGAGATATTGAAAGTAAATTTGATTTTATATAAATGTGATAAGTGGTTTTGATTCTCACATGATCTCAAATAAATATGAATATCGCTTTATTTGAAAGCTATTGAAGAAAGAAGTGATTTAAATGTGTTTCAGCGGTTTATTAAATTCAAGAGATTTTTTGTGATTTGATATTTGTAACAAAAATAAATAAATTGAATTTGTTAAACCATTTTAATTGATATGATGAGTTTACACTCGTTCACTAAGTTTGGAAGTGTTCGTTTCACAAGTGAATCAATTATACCAATACTATTTTCGGTACAAGCAATGTGTTTTTTAGATCAAGTAATGCGACAATTGATGAGTTTTTGAAATTAAGCAATTTGATAAGCGATGTGTTTTTGAAATCAAGCTATTTGATAAACGATTCTTAATGTTTTCTAAACCCTCAAAAAGTCCACTATGGAATGATGTGTTTATGCCTGCTATATGGTGAATACACATTTATGTGGCCTCTTTGGGTGTTTTGATGTGGCCCTTTTAGACATTTGTGATGTGGCCTTTTTAGACATTTGTGATGTGACCGGCGGCCTATGGTAATGTTAGGTGCATTCGGTTCCCGAAAATTGTGTTATGTGATGCCTTTTGGCATTCCTATGCTACTGAGCTATAATTCGCGCATTTTGGCATTCCTATGCTACTGAACTATAATTCGTAACCTTAGTGTGATATTTGAGGTGATTCTTGCATTTCATGAACGACTTATTGAGATTTGATATTCTGATATTTGACTGTGAATTTGAGAAAATAACAATCTTTTGGTTTTGCACAAATTTAATAGTTCGTTTGCTTTCTTAGTATTTACCTTATTTTCAAAAGAGTCTGATTTTGGAATACATTACAATATATTCAGTTTGCACATAAGAAAGAAGTCTAAAAAGTTGTATTCTTTATTGAATATAACAATAGTATGTTGTTCTTGGATTGCTATCTTTTTGGAATTTCCGGTACAAAGCTTATAATTCACTATTTTTCTTTAGAAATTATTATTATTTTATTAGATATCTAGGAAATATCTAGGAATTATAGTGGGAAATGTTCTCACTGAGCCCTAGCTCATCCCGTCATTTTTAAATTTTTTCAGATCTGAGATAGCTATGTAATAAGCCGAACTTTTGGTTGCGGCGCATTGCTAAGAGGCGTTTATATGGAAAAACCCTCCGTTCGTGTTATGTGCAACCAACAATGTGTTTTGTTTTATAAAAATATTTGTAACGTTGAGGTTTAGATTGTAACTACTGATTGTGTGTGTGTGTATATATATATAGTTTGCTTTGAATTTCTATCATCAGTAGGTGTATATATATTATCATTAGAAAAGCTATGCGGTATGAAGTGTCAAGCTTGACTCGTGCATAAAACTTGTCTTGTGCAGGGGTTGTTGCTGTTGCGTAACCCATATTTATAAATTTCCGATGCAGTTTTGGGCTTGACGGGGACGATATGTGACTAGATCATTGTTTTAAATATCGGCCGATAATCGATATTATCGGTCGAGTTATCGGATTTTTGAGCTCTCCGCTAGGATAAGTTGGTTTTGTAATCGGTTATCGTTTTGGAGAGATTATCGGCGAGTTATCGGTGTTATCGACACTTATCGGCCGATAAGGCTAAATTATCGAGATTATCGGCTAAGCATTTTGAGTTGAGTTGTTAAGTTTTTAAAACCCGACCCGACCTGTTTTGTTAATAATATGAAACTTAAAATCCGAAACTTTGTGAATCCGACCTTCAAACCCTAACTTCGTCTCTGGCGGCTTCTCCTTTTCTCGTAAGGCGCTTCATCCATTATCTCCATCTCATGTTCTCTGCGCCTCTTCGTCGCTCGCCTTCGTGAACTTCACCTTGAACTTTGTCGCTCGCCTACCCTCTGTCAACCATGTTTTTTTTGTCCGGAAACATGGCTATATACACATGCTGTGAGCTATCCTTCTCTTGCAATTCCTTCACGCACGCACTTTCTCTTTGAGTAATATCAGTTCTATAACTATTCTTTTATCATACTTTGCTTTTCTGTTTTTCCTGTAACAAAGACTTATATAAGAAATTAGTAAATAAACTGTACATACTTTGCTTTTCTATTTTGGTATGTTTATATTTCATTAAGCATGGTTAGATTATATTTTTTAGCTGTTATATTATATATATACATCATCCAGTATATTGCTCCGATAACTACTACTTATCCCCGATATATCCTCGATTTTCGCTATCCGATAAGGATTTTGACCGTCCCTGATAACCGATATTTAAAACCTTGGACTAGATAAGGGGAATTGTTACCACATCACTCCTTAACAAGTAAGATTCAACCAACTAAACTAACAGTATTAAGCAACATATGATGGACATCCTTGAATCCTATTAACTCAAAATATAGCCATAGTAGAGAGAACAAATTAAATTGTTGAGGAACATGAACAAACTATGAGCGCAACTGAGAGTATAGAAATTAGCACTAAAATTGATACCTTAAATTCTACCGACGTCTTTGAAGGCTCAAAATGTAGATCATAACTAGACATAGGACAAAAGAAATTTAGAAGAAAAGCAGGATATGCGGCCTGAGTCTTACGCCTCTTCCCTGTTTGAACCTCGGGCTCAATCTCACAGTGGGGCAAGGAACATTGAAAACTTGCAGCCAGTTTGTTAAGTAAGTTATGAATTGGGCCCTTGCAGACGAATCTTGAGTTAATATCTGACAATCATTAAGGTAACAAATTGTCCGATCAAAGAAATAATTCAAATGTGAAGAGGATTGAGGATACATATGTACTGAAAAGCCTGCAAAGCAAATAGTCAAATTACCAAAAGAAGTAAGAAATAAATACAAACATTGCTGAATATTCTTCATAGTGTCCGTACCTTTGTGGAAAACGCATGAGTCAGCCTAGACAGGTAGCCAGAAAGAGTCAGTACTTGATCTGAGAAAAGTACTTCCTCTAAAGAAGTAGAGACTTCCTCTCCAAAAGCGTCAGATACTAGAGGCAGAGGAGATGAAGAAGGAACTGTGCACAGCAGCTCATCTTCACTGCATTAGAGAAATGCTAAATGCTTACAAGACTAATCACAAGAACCTACAGTAACCTAATTTCTATTAGAAATCTTACCTCTCAATATCAGTGACCTTGAGTAGCACCCGTGGATGAACAAGAGCAATCCGAAGAACAGACTTCTTTATTGAGTGTAGAACTCTTTTTGGGCTTCCAGAGTATTAAAACAAAGTAAAGTTGAAAGTGTGCAGACCGACCACAAAAAAAGAGAAAATACAGAAATGTCAGCA